ATAGAACTGCTTCCTCAGCTTTTTATGATTTTTGACAGCCATAGCACACTCCATTGGACAAGATTGCCATTCGAAAAAGGAGAAAACACAGCCATTAACTTTGGATTTGATCCATATAAATGTTTTAACTTGCATCCTTTCCAGCAGGTTTTCTGGTAATCCTTCATCTTTTCGAAACACTTGGATATTCCGTCTATACCATAAGTACCAGGCGACCACTAGGAAAATACAAGAACCCATCTCCTTTCCAATTATGCTTCCCAAACTACCAATGAAAAACTCTGCCATGCCTCCTACAGTGTTAGGCAAAACAGATTCCAAACCCCACCAACTTAACACCTGAGTCCAAGCTACCCATGCATTATAACATAAACAAAATAAATGGTTAACTTTCTCCTCCTTCCCATAACAAAATTCACAAAGAGCCCCCTCCTGTAGCAGTATCCCACGTTTTTGTAAGTTTTCCTTTGTTGGGAGTCTATCTAAACACAAACGCCACCCAAAAAAAGCCACTTTGGATGGCACCAATCTGCACCCTATTAATTTGCATAACTGGTCCTCCAAGACACTCTCCGAAGAAGCTAAGAAATCATACGCTAGCTTCACCCCATATTTACCATCTAACCCATGCATCCACTTCCAAACATCCCCTGCCCCCTCCTTTAAATTGACACCCTCCAGCATCTTTTCCAACAGCTCCTCCTCATCTTTCTCACGCCCTAATGTACCCCTCCTCCACTCCAGCCGCCAACGCCATCTCCCCTCTTCCTAAGACCCCATTTCGGAAACCTTTCCTTCCTTCTTTACAGCTAGTGCAAATAACCTAGGAAATAAGTCTCTAAGGCTTTTTACACCCATCCACCTATCCGACCAAAAAACCACTCTATTTCCTTCTCCCACCTCCCACTTGAAACCCTCCACCAACATATTTCTAAGATTGAGGGAGAGGCCCCCTATCCTAATAATGTCCCTCCAAATCTTAGACATCTTGAAACACTCAACCGAAGTAATATCGACCTCCCTCCTACCACCATAATATTTCTCCCTCACCACCCTTTTCCATAAGCTCTCGACCCCGTCGCCTAACCTATACCACCATTTTCCTAACATTGCCGAGTTTTTTCTTTGTAAATCAGGCACCCCAAGACCCCCCTTAGCCTTAGCTTGACATACATGATCCCATTTCACCCAAGAAATTTTCTTATTTAATTCTGCCCCGCCCCATAAGAAACACCTTTGGATTCTAGTCAACTCCGCAAGCACAGATTTAGGTAATGAAAATAAAGACATATAAAAAATAGGAAGTGCAGAGAGTACCGAGTTTAGCAAGACGAGGCGGCCTCCAAAAGAAAGAGTAGCGGCCTTCCAGACAGCGAGTTTGGAACGGAATTTATTTACAACCGGCTCCCATAATTTCTTGTTCCCAGATTTTCCGTCTACGGGCAATCCCAGATAAAGAAAGGGTGGTCGGCCAACCCTGCAGTGTAACATACCCGCTGATCCTTTTAGCCATTTCTCCGACACATTATACCCAAAAATACTGCTCTTGCTGAAATTAATTCTCAATCCCGACATAAGCTCGAACCATTTTAGGATGTCCTTCACCGTACGTATATTCTTCGCATCTGCTCTACCTATAATAACTGTATCATCAGCAAACTGGAGCAACGATACGGACAGACCTCTCTTCCCAATCTCAATCCCATGCATCATATCCTCCTTTATAGCTCTCTGTACCAGATACTGTAACCCCTTAGCTTCTTCGAAAATTGCATCACTTTTTCTCATCATTCAAAGTCTGCAAGCCTTGTAAACAACAATCCTCATGGCAAGTCATAATGTCTTGCTCATATTCAATCCACGGACTCATGGAATCAACATAATAGTCTTGAATACTTTTAACACCCTATACATATTTGAATATGTAAAATTTAATCGGAAAGTTTCTAATCCAACTTGATTATTGAAAAACCTTTTCAAGATGTTCCCACGTTGCTTAGTAGTACAAAATTCCCTCATAGCTATTCCAATATTACTATCAACAAAAGCCAATAGCCAAGAAACAATTCCATCATGAAAAATACTTTCCATCTAATTCGATAGTTAAAGTCTCATTTTTCTCACATATAGTTGAATTCAATTCCAAACATGCAAGAAAATGTGCAAATAATAATACTAAATTTGTAATTTTTTTATTTAAAAATACTAATTCTACTTATTTCTAAATAAAAATATCAACTTTCAACTTTTTTTATTTAAGGGTGTTAATCTTTTTTTTTAATCTATTTACCACATTAATATCACCATTCAATTAATTTTTAAATAAAAAAATTAAAAAATTAATATTTTTAAATAAAAAGTTAAAAATTGATATTTTTATTTAAAAACTGATAAAATTAAAATCTTTAAATAAAAAAATTACAAAATTAACATCTTTATTTACACATTTTATCCCAAACAAGCAAACCAAGAAGGCAAACAGATGTTGAGAGGGCAATTGATGTTATTGTCAAGACAATATTAAAACTAAATTGAAAAAATCCAATTTCCAATCCAATTGGAGCTCACTATGATGGTGATGGCTCTGATATCATATTATAAAATCAGAGGTAGAAGTGGAGGGTGCATAAAGCATTGGCAAATTGAGTAGCTTATTTATATTAGGGTGCAAAGAAACTTTATTTATAACATATATTTAACAATATTAAATTTTATGTAATTAATAATGTGGTTAAACTTATTAAAATAATTTAAAATTTGACATACATAATTTATATAAATATAACTTTCAATTTAGTGGTTGATTTTTTAAATTAATAATTAGAAATTAAGTTCTTGAATAAGTTCTCCCAAATCAATTTTAAAGACGGCTTATGAAACACTTTTCCCACATAGAAAAATAAAAATCAGTACTTTGACATGAAAACAATATTAAAAAGAATTGCACCAACTTTCAAAAACTTACTTTTCTGAACATAACTCCAACAAGCACAATCATATCTATTTAGATCTCAATTTCCTCTGAAGTGATGAACCTGATCTGAGAAAATCATGTATAAAAATTAACAGTACCAATTAAAATGCTCTTATCCATGTGTAACGCGATTATTTTGACAAAAAGAGCAAAGAATCAGAGCTATATATATATATATGTAGCATCAAAGAGAACTCACCAATTGGCAGAAGCAGAAGAATGAATTAAAAAAAAAAATGCTAGCTTGCAGCGGGAGGAGAGAATTAGTTATATAATATCATACAGGAACGCATGCAGGAATATAGAGACCAAAATACTCTATTCTTTGCTTCTTTTACCGGTAAAGAAAGGCATAGAAGCTTATTCATGTATATCTTTATTGTGGGTGCTACATAAGCTGTTGATACTTTGTCCTTCGGCCGGAGAAAGTGGAAGTGTAAAGAGCAGGAGAAGAATATGAAATGCAATGCGAGTTACATAAAGGGTTGCACCATATGTAAGTAGCTGGTTCCACGAGTCTCATTAGGCAAGGGACAATTAATGCAGCTTTGGGTAAGAAGTGAATCCTGCACAATGCAATTTTAAATTGGGAAGTAATCCGAATTTCAATTTTTGTAAGCCTATATAGGTAAAATGCAAAAAGTTAAGGGCAAAATAAAAATGAATCATCAAATAGTAGATGAAAGAACTAATGATTTATTAGTTCGAACGGAAAGAATTTAATTTTTAGTAAATAAGATTTTAAGTTAAAATATTTTATATAGAGAAACAAGTATTGAAAATATTTTTTTTTATATGATCTAATTTGATTTCATTTTGAATTAATTAAAATTTAATGTAGTTTCTAAATATTAAAGAGTTCATAAAAAAACAAAACAAATTAAGTGAAAGAAGAGTAGAGGGTTGCATACACTTTTTCAATTTGGATTTGATTAAATTTATTTTCGGTGGGGCGGTGAAAGGTAATAATTACCCTTGTACTTTTCGATATTATTCAAAATTTTCCTTATACTTTATACTTTTTCTTGTAATTTATAAACCCTCAAACTTTAAAGTTGATTGAAATCAGCCCTTTAACTTTTAGACTGAATTTAGTGGCCCAAAACTTAACCGCTGACGCAAGCAAACATCAGCATTTCGTTAGTCCGTTACATTTCCGTTAACCTCAGGATGACTTGGCAATATCCAGAATCCATTCTATTTGATGCGGTAAAATTGGGATGACGTGGATTGAATAATTACATGGTTTACTCTCATTTAACTTTAATTAAATCTAAAACCATACTCCCTCGTTTCAATTTTAATAAATTTAATTTTATATTTGAAATATTTAAATTTAATTGTTTATTTTTTTAA